GGGTTTTTTTTGGGAAAAGTTTAAAAAAGGGGGGGGGGGGGGGGGGGGCGACACGATCACACACATATCAGCAACGACAACATCCACAACAACCACAACATCAAAATCAACACACCTGCGGAATGCCGTTAAAATTGGTCACGGCGATTCTGCGGGCCCCCTGTCGGACGTGTCTCGACCTCTGGTCCTCCCCCCTCTCGCGCTCCGAAGGAGGTTCCGGGAGCTTGGTCGGGTCCAGGCCCATCGCGGTCGGTACCGGTACTGTCCATGTGATGCGGTTTGCCCGGCGGCTCTGCGACGCCTCCCTGGAGGTTTTTCAGCCGGAGGTGGCAACGCTAATCATTTTTAGCTACTCTGGCTACAGTTGGCTTGTGACCATGGAAGGTGCAACTCATCAGTTGGACCAGCACGGACATTGCACGGTACTGAGCGGAGACCGGAACGTTTCTTGACGTCAAGACGACAACATGCACGGTACTGAGCGGAGACCGGAACGTATCTTAAATGGCACGACGACAACAACAACGCACGGAAGTCACACGCACACAGCAAGCAGTAGTACAACAATACCTTGTCGTCCCGTTGAACCAGGTGCCGTTCGGGAAGTTTCCCGTCGCGATGAAGGGCTGGATGGCCACCTCCAGGGGCCCCGTGACGTAGTACTCGTCCGGCTTGCGGCCAGACGTCTTGATCTCTCCGTCGTGGCAGAAGCCGGGCAAGATCAGCGCCTTCCGGATCTATACAGAGTAGGGGCGATCCAAGGGCAAATAAGGGGACGTTCCGACAAGGGCAAATGAAGGAACGTTCCGAGCAACGTTCCGACGAACGCTCCGGAGATCAACGCAATATAGGCTGCTGTAGCCATCAGGAGCCGTCAATAAGCGACGGCAAAATCGTGCAAGCGGTAATTGTCTTTCCACCGTTGACAACAATCCTTCTCAAACTAACCCTCAACATCCTTGCTTCCCAACCCATTCCCCCCTCTCCCACCCATCCTCATGTTCCGTCCTCTCGAGGACGCGTGGTCAAGGCCTAACGACTAAGGCATGCCAAAGCATGGGTCCCGAGTCCCCTTCCGCCACTTCCCCATCTATATAGGTTTTTCGCCCCGTCCCGACACTGTAGGGATGCGAGGTCAACGGTCTAACGACTACGGCATGCGTTTACTTGAGTACCCCCCCCCCCCCCCCCGGTGTTTGTCATCGGGGTTGGGTTTTCGTCGCTTGGCAACGACGTTGTAAAACAAGCCGACCCCCCCCGGTGTTTGCCATCGGGGTTTGGGTTTTCGTCGCTTGGCAACGACGTTGTAAAACAAGCCCCCCACCCGGTGTTTGCCATCGGGATTGGGTTTTCGTCGCTTGGCAACGACGTTGTAAAACAAGCCAATTCACTTCGTGAACTCGGCAACCAGGTTACCGTTTTTTTTTTTTACCTCGTTTTTTTTTTTTGGCGGTAACCATAATGGTGGTCGAGTAGATCATGTTGTGCGGGGTCGAGAAACCTCACTCCGCGCAACGGGGGATGATCGCACCACGTTGTGTTAAAATGGTCAAGCTTCCTCGAGGCAGTTACACAGTGCTTACAACTGTCTCTGGAAGTGAAAGCACCAGAAAATAAATTAAGTCATACGTAGCTGTCATCCGTACGCAACGAAGTAAGCACAAGATGCCGAATACCCTTAGCAGGATGCACCTCACCCTTCATGCGACTCGCCAAATACCTCACGGCGCTTCGCGCTTGGTGATGTGAGAGCCTGGTCCGGTGAGAACCCGGCGTGCTCCGTCCCGGCTTTGTAGGGATGCGAGGTCAATGGTCAAACGACTACGGCATGCACGACTATGAGTACACCCCCCCCCCCCCCCCCCCCCCCCAGCTATCGC